GGAGGAAACACAGGAGGACAAAGGACAAGCAGCTCCTCATGTTTCTGTTCCGTCACTGTTGAGCGTTTAAAGATTATTTTTGGCAGATTATTATAATTTTATTAATGAAAGGAGGAAATGTAGAAATGTTTTGGCCTTTCTGTGTGCAGAAAATAGTTTTTACTCAGAGAATTTTACAGATACATTATTGAGCTGATACTTGGTGTGGTAGTAACAGAGTTTTCTCCAACATGAACTATCAAATCACAGGTTCTGTTTGTATCTTTGGTCTGCAAAGCCATGGGCGATATGCATTCCTTCAAGGTTTCATTTGTTATAAAAACAGCATTCCTTGGTCCAAACATGATTTGTAATAATACGTATAAGCTGTGTAAAACACAAGTTTAATGACAGCCAGCAGAATGTGTATTTTATTTTAAAAATTAACAACCAGTTGACTGAACAACTAACCACCTAACAAACCAACCAACCTACAAACCAATTTACCTACGTATCAAATCAAATGACCAACATACCTATCTTCCAATCAACCAACTAACTAACCTATCAATATTTCAAACAACCAACCTACCAGCCAACAAACTAACCTACCAACCAATTACCCTACTAACCTACCTACCAGCCAGTCTACCATACAATTGAACAAATCAACCAACAATCAAATGACCAAACCAACCAACTTACCTTTCTTCCAACCAATCAGCCAACAAACCAAGCTACCAAACAACAACCTATATGCCAACCTATCTTCCAACAAACCAACTAACCTACTAATATTCAAATAAACCAACCTACCAGCCAACAAGCCAACCTACCAATTAACTGACCAACCTACCAACAACCAATCAGTCAACAATCCAATCTACAAACTAATTTACCTACCAAGCAACCTCCCTACCTACCAATCAAATGACCAACAAACCTAGCTATCTTCCATCTAACCAATGTACCAGCCAAAGATATCAACCAACTAACATACATACCAACCTACCAACCAGACCAGCCAATCTACCCAACTTCCAACTAAGCAGTCTACCAGCCAACAAACCAACTTACCAACCAATTACCCTATTAGCGTACCTACCAACCAACAAGCCAACCTACCAATTAGCTGACCAACCTACCAACAACCAATCAGTCAACAATCCAACCTACAAACCAAATTACTTACCAAGCAACCTGCCTACCTACCAATTAAATGACCAACAAACAAACCTACCTATCTTCCAAACAACCTACCAGCCACCTTACCAACCTACTAACCTACATACTAACATAACAGCCAGCAAGCCAACTTCCCAACCTACTAACCTACATACCAACCTACCAGCCAACAAGCCAACCTACCAGTCAACCTATCTTCCAACTAACCAATCTACCAGTCAACAAACCAAGTTACCAATAAACTAACCAACATTTCAACCTACCAGCCAATCTACCAATCAACTGAAGAAATAAACTAACCAACCAATCTACCTACCAATCCAATGGACCAAAATAAAATAAATAAATAAACAACCAACTGTAGACTAGTTTACAGTCTCCAGACAGGAAGCCCTGATCTTATTTACCACCTGCTTTACTCTCTAAGCTCTCTGGACCCCTTCTACTTTCAAGTATCTCAAACATCACCCTCTTCAGCTCCTCGTTTACATCTGAACAACTTGTACCTCATGAGATTTCAAAAGCAGCCCACTCTCTGTCAAGTGGAAATCCCCCGGTGGGATAATCCTTGCCTTCTGAATGGCCGACAACGAGAAGGCAAAGAGTGGGCTGAAAGAGTGAGAGAAAAGCTGGGAGACATTATGTATGTGTCATCCATGAGGACAGAAAGAGAATAAATTGTAAGTCAGATCAGAGGYGGGTAAAATCAATGAAACGAGACAAACTGAGAGAAAGGAAGTAATATCACAGACCGACTGCCGTGGGGGAGTGGGGTGGGGTGGGGTGCTCTTATATGAATTCAGCTCATCAATGTTTGTTTAGTGCTTCGTGATTACAGAAAGGATTTGTCTCTGTGAAACAGAACAAAATCTGTCAAACAACTGATTAAAATATACAGATTATTTTTATTTTGGTTGGTTTGTTGGTTATTTGACAGGTTGTTTAATTGTTTGGTTGGTTAGTTGGTTGGTAGGTTGTTTAACTGTTCATTAGTTGGTAGGTAGGTTGTTTAATTGGTTGGTTGGTAGTTAGAAAGGTTGGTTAGTCAGTTGGTTTCTAGGTTGGTTGAGTGGTTGGTTAGATGGTTGGTAGGTTGTTTTGTTGGTCAGCTAGTTGTTCAAGTAGTGGTTAGATGAGTTGTTCAATTGGTTGGTTGTTTGATTGGTTGATTGTTGGTTGATTGGTAGGTAGGTACAGTAGGTTTGTTGTCTTCCAGACAAAAAGGTAAAAGTGAGCTGGGAACAGATGTATATTACATCACTTATCCATAGATGTTTATGGCTCTAGATGTTTACATAACTGCTCAATAAATTATGTAAATTATTCAGTTTTAATCAATAAATAACTGAAAATCTTCTTGAAACTTGTTTCATCTAAATTCCTTAGCCTCTACTCATCTCACCAAACAAAGATCCATTAATAGACTCAAAAGAATCCTCCTCCTTATGTGAACCAGTCTGAGTTCAGATCTGAACCTCCTACTGTTAAATATATTAATGATTATCTGTTGGTTTTCCTGCTCTCTGCTGTGGTTTGGGTTGTGTGTCAAGGCTGCCGCCTTCGAGAGAGTTGTTTTTGTGTGGGTGCATCTGTGAAGCACTAATGAGGACCAGAAACTCGGAGTGTGTACATTTTGTACATCATCTTTCTAGCAAAACAATTAATGTATAAGATTTATTGTACGTGTGTGAGATACTATTCCAGACTTATTAAAATGATTATGATTAAAATGCTACAGCAACAACAGAAACCTTTTCCAGAGACAATTTGTCTGTAGCGATTATTCTAAACCCACCCAGAAACCTGCTGCTGTGGTGAACTCATTAAGATTCTCAGCAGCAGGGGGTCCAGTCTTTTGAACTTGGAGCTCAGAAGAGACAAAAACCAGAGACGGGAGCTCCTCGTATCCTAAAAAGATGAAATACTGAAGACGTTGAGATGCAGTGTGATAACTGTCGGAGGCCTGATGAATGGGGACAGGATGCTGACGGGGCAGGGTTTGGAGCTTTAGGGTTAAGATATAATCATTGACTGAAAGTTAAAGTCTGAGCTTTCATAAAGAAGTGAAAATCACCTTTCACACCAGATTTTTAAACAAAGAGAGAAATTATTCATCTGTAGTTGGTTTGGTTAAAATATAAAAAGAAGATTAACAATCTGTTCTGACAGTTTGAGCTCAGATTGTGTCAAATATGAGGGAGTGGAGTAATGGATGGATGGATGGATGGATGGATGGATGGATGGATGGATGGATGAATAGAAGGTTGGACGGCTGGCCGGATGGACGGACGGATAAAACGACCAATAGTTAGTTGGATGAATGGATGGATGGATGGATGAAAAATAGATGAAGGGATGGATGGATGGATGAATAGAAGGTTGGACGGCTGGCTGGACGGACGGACGGATCAAAAAGACCAATAGTTAGTTGGATGAATGGATGGATGGATGGATGGATGGATGGATGGATGGATGGATGAAAAATAGATGAAAAGATGGATGGATGGATGGATGGATGAAAAATAGATGGATGGATGGATGGATGGATGGATGGATGGATGGATGGATGGAAAATGGATGAAGAGATGGTTGGATGGATGGACGGACGGACGGACGGACGGATGGATGGATGGATGAAAACTCAAACATTTTAAATAGGTTGAATTTGGTCCTTTCTTTATAAACTTATTTGACTTTATCTTGTATTCTTATGATATCTTATTTGTTGTTCATTTATTTATTTATTTATATACACATTTGCATCAGTCAAACATGTCAGGTACTTTAAACCTGTCTGGTGAGTTTCTCCTGTGTTTACAGTGAAAATCCTCTGTTTCAGAGCTTGAACCTTTGGTTCTCAGGTTTGTTCTGCTCCTTCTCAAAACTCCGTCCTCACATAAAAAAAGCCTTGAATGCAAATTGCCTCCTCTCTGCCTCAGAGCTGTTTCTCTGCCTCCTGAACGAGGAGCGGCTGCAGCCCAATGACTGGGATGCTTTAATCTGTCAGATTATTCAGCTGGTGACCAGCACACACCAGCTGACAGTCTGATGGTTTAAAATTGATCCTTTTCACCACGAACACAGAAAGAGATGTTTATAAAAAGCACTTCACACGATGTCTGCTGCACATTTGTTCTGGTGACACTGTTTTGCACATTTCTGGTCCCAAAACTTCCCTGGAGCAACCCGGCTCTCAGAAATACAAGTTTACATTTTTTAGGTTGATTTGATTTGATTTATTTAACAGGAAAAGATTATTATAAATCAAGCCTGACTCAGCATAATTGCTGTTTTACAGCAGGTTCCTGTTCTGCAGCACATAAAACACTCAGAATTACAGCATCACAATCACATCATTTTACACCATAGACACAAAGACAAACAAGCTTAATGTTACATTTACATCACATCATGGATCAGATGCTGCTGCTGACTGATCCATGATGTGATGTAAATGTAACATTTTCTACATATAGGTCAAATTAATCACTGCAATAAAATAACTTTGTCTGTTTTTGTCACTTTTACAGTGGATTGCATCAACTCTGTTACATCCAGAAGGGAAACGTCACCAAATCTGTGGATCTGTGTTTGATTACTCTGCCTGGCTTTCTCAAGGACCAGGATGTGACACAAAAATCTGAATTATGGAACTGAAAGTGAAAGTAGTCAAACCGAATTTTTAATAAACCAAAATACAGTTTCAAAGCAAATTAATTCAGATACAAAACTTTAAATTCAGTTTCAATTCAATAAAATTTATTTTCAAACCAATGCATTCAAATTCTGCACATTCTGATTCAATCTGAGCAATTCAGATTCAGTTCCTGCTGGCACAAGATTTATCCCATAGATATTTTGCTAACAGACAAACACACACAATGTATTTGGTAGTGGTGTTTAATAACGACGAGAAAATTCAGATTTTTTTCAGAAAATGGGATCCTGCAGTTCTCCGGTTGTCTCTTTTGTTTGTCACCTGACGTCTCCTCCTCTTCCTCCGTCTGCACGTGGATGCTGCTGGACTTCCTCCAACATGTCACCTCCCTACGCCGTTTCTGAAACGCCACCTGGGATATTCAAGCTGATTTCAATGTCTAATCAGGACCATTCACTCCCCTCCCACCTCCTGATGACTCACGCTGAAAAATCAGTAAAAAAAAAAAAAACCTCCTTTCAGAACCAACCGTGGAGTTTCATCCAGCTCTGCGCACTCATTACAGGAGCACGGAGCGGGAAACTCGGCGGCCTGGGTCAAAGCACTGCGAGCAGAGAAAACGGTTCTTTTGTTGCTCTCTCGCTGGATTTGGGTCTTGGGCGCCCTGGAGGTTAGCGGATTAGCATACGGCATCAGATGTGGGTATTCAGAGGTGTCTGCTCGGGTCTCGCCTCATGCAACGTGTGCTTTTTAGCGTGCACGCTACTTATCTGCCTGACAAGAATGGGTCACGTTGGGTCATGTTGAGGTTTAAACATGTTTCGCCGTCACTGTGTCGTGTTCAGAAGAAAAAAAAAAACGAACTCACAAATGAGCTGGATTCTGCCGGCTCGCCACAAATCGATGGTTTACTTTAAAGTTGGAGAACAGAGATGGTTTCAGATGCTGAAAATCGATTTTACAGCCTGGAAGCTGCTGCTCTCCAAACTGTGCTTTCTGAGGTTGAAGAAAAGGTTGTCAACCTGAMACGACCACGAGTCAAAGCAGCTGAATGCTCGAGACTTCAGCTGATGATTTCTGTTTAATAAAAACACTTGTTTCACAGCAGACGCTTCACTTCAGCAAAGACTCTTCAAGACATGGGATTGTTTGGGTTTCTTTTTCTGGGTGAAATTTTCAGAAAAAGTATCATCCATATTTGACAATTTATTTTGTAATAATCTAAACTTTTATTAGATAAACTGTGTAAAAATGTAAAATTAATCAAGATCAACAGAAAACTGCTGCCAGAGTTTCAGTATAGTCCTCATGGTAACCACACAGCTGTGTCTGTCACTCCCTGATGGATGGATGGATTGTTGGATATATGATGGATGGATGGAAGGATGGATGGATGGATGGATGGAAGGATGGATGGATGGATGGATGGTTGGATGGATGAGTGGATGGATGGATGGATGATGGATGGGTGGATGTATGGATGGATGGATGCTGGATGGATGGATGGATGGATGGATGGTGGATGGGTGGGTGGATGGATGGATGATGGACGGATGATGGATGAATGGATGGTGGATGGATGGATGAATGCATGGATGATGGATGAATGGATGGATGGATGATGGACGGATGATGGATGAATGGATGGATGGATGATGGACGGATGATGGATGAATGGATGGATGGATGATGGACGGATGATGGATGAATGGAT